CGGTCTTTTGCTTGTGCAAACTCTCGCCATGTGGCCAACTCTGCCACAGTTATAGCAAGTGTTTCCATCGCTTCCACCACCGGCGCTTTGCATGCAATCCCTAGCGAAATGCCCAACATCACCACACTTGTAACACCCCTCACCGCCTGATCCACGACCACCGCCTCCTCCGTATCTGTTTCCACCACCGGAACCACAATCTTTCGCCATATGACCAACCTCTCCGCAGCTGTAACACCCGCCACTGTTTCCACCAATGTTCTGTCTACAATCCCTAGCGAAATGTCCCACATCGCCACACTTGTAGCAGGAACCTTCACCACCACCGCCGGATCTACGACCACCGCCTCCGAAGCTATTTCCACCACCGACGCAATCCTTCGCCATATGGCCAACCTCGCCGCAACTGAAACAACCACCGCGGGAGCTAATTTCCTTCTTATTGAGAGAACCGCCACCGGGAGCAGTAACATCTACGGCTTTAGTCTTACCGTCGTCTCCGAGAGTGATTGCGTACTCAACAGATTCACCATCAGTCAAGCTCCGAAAACCATCGGAGACGATTGAAGACTGATGAACGAAAAGCTCTTCACCACCATCATCAGGAGTAATGAAACCATAGCCTTTACCATCGCTAAACCAATTAACTTTTCCGGTGGATCTCGCCGCCGATTGATCCTCCTGCGCCATTAGATCGGTAAAAATGGACAAACTCGAAACCGTTCGGGGAAACCAAAAGGAGGAAAAGAAAACCCTAAATTGCCAGATCTAATTTTAGATCTGATCGGCCACGTCAGATTCATTCTCTATCGGCGGCAGTTACCACGTGTGCACTTGAGTCGGGCCGGATCTTTCATAAAGGCCCATGGGTCAACTTTATAGTGATGAAAGTTTTATACATGTACTAGTATTATCTCCCGTGCTATAACGCACGGGAACAATGATGTATGCATACGTTTTATAAAATTAAAACAGTATTCCAAATATGTACAATATAGCTCTACGTTAGTAAACATAAAAGCAAATTAAAACTGTTCAATTTAGTTTATAAATATCCAACATGAACTCGAGATAAATATCAATATTGATCTTATCTTTAACCAAATGCAAATCATTAATACGTGTCGAACAGAAATCGAAGTAAATTTTTTTTTTGTAGAAAAGTACAACTAAAATATGAAACTTAAGTTTCTAGATAGTTTGACCGCAGT